CCTTCCCTTCCCTTCCCTTCCCTTCCCTTCCCTTCCCTTCCCTTCCCCTTAACCCCCATCCTGGTGTAAGAGGAGGGATGTAACACACAGAGGGTGGTGGGAAAAAGACGGTTTCTGAATGAGGAGTCTCTCGTTGAAGACAGATGAGGAGGAATTTGTTCTCCCAGAGGGTGGGGAGTTAACGGAATACAGCCCCCCCCCCCCCGCCCAACACAGAGCAGTGAGGGGTGCAGCTCAGAGAATATATTCGAGGCTGAGTTAGATTTTTTTTTGTTTAATTGAGGAGGGTTATGCGGCGGGTGGGGGGGCTAAAGAGGGAACGGCCAAGTCGAGACAACAAACGGTTCGCCCACGATCTCATCAGCTGGGCTAGCAGGCCCGGGGCGGGATGCTGAATGGCCTCCTGCTGCTCTGAGCCCGTAGATGGGGTGGGGGAGAATGGGGAGAGAGAGAGGCAACATTTCGGAGCCTGCTCCTCCAGGTCTGGAGTCACGTGCGGTCAGGAAAGAGACTACGAAATACCGTGTCCACAGAGAGCCCTCGCGCGTGAACGTGAACTAGTTAGAGTTTAGGTACAGCACGTAATTTGGAAAGCAAGTGGAACGTTGACCTTTACCAGAAGACGACGTGGTGGGAACAGAGTCTAAAGGTCAAGGATGTCTTACTCCGTGTCTACAGGACGATGTTGATATAGACTCCCGCTTTGATCAGCCTTCTCCGAACTGCCTCCATCAGTCAATGGGCTCTCCAGAGCTCAGACCCGCAACCTCTCCCTCTGTGAGAGGGGGAGAGAACCTTCCGCTGTTTCCCCTTCACAGGCGTCAGAAATTGGAGCGAGGGCTTTTGAGGTTGTTTTCAATGCATCCAGTTTTGCTTCTAACCACCACCCGCGCCCCCTCCTGCTATCTGTGGCCGTACAGAGTCATAGAGCACGGAAACAGACCCTTGGGCCCAACTCGTCCAGCCTGACTGGGTTTCACAGAGTCGCACAGCACAGAAACAGACCTGTCGGCCCAACTCGTACATGCTGACCCCTCATCCTAAATCAATCTAGTCCCATTTGCCAGCATTTGGCCCCTATCCCCCTCAACCCTTCCTATTCATGTCCCCATCCAGGTGCCTTTTAAATGTTGTAACTGTGCCAGCCCCCACCACTTCCTGTGGCAGCTCGTTCCATACATGCACCACCCTCTGCATGAAAAAGTTGCCCCTCAGGGTCCCTTTTCCCCCTCTCACCTTAAACCTATGCCCTTCTAGTTTTAGACTCCCCCTACCCTGGGGGGGTAAAAGCTATTCACCCTATCCATGCCCCTCATGGGTTTATAAACCTCTATAAGGTCACCCCCTCAGCCTCCAACGCTCCGGGGTGGAAAAAGTCTCAGCCTTTCCTTTATAACTCAACCCCCTGCGGTCCCGGTGACATCCTCGCAAATCTTTTCTTTTGCACTCCCTCCAGGTTAATAACATCCTTCCTATAGCCAGGTGGCCCCAGACCTGCACGCAGTACTCCCAAAAGTGACAGTCCCAAAGTGGGGTTGCCTTTAAGGATGACTTTTCACCTCTCATTTAGGGCATGAGGTGTCTCAAGTCCGTGCACGCGCACAAACACACACACGCACACTGCCCAGCTCCTTTTAAACACTGGTGGAACAGCCTCTGCAAGTGACGGCTTCTGTGGCGCAATATCCCTTTGTCACCAGCGGTGATGGCCCGCCAGCCTTGTTGGGGTTGGGGGCGTGCGTGGGGTGGGAATGCAGTGCTGTTGGGATGCGCCCCGCTGAGTTCGGGGAGGGTGGGGGTGGAATGGAATGGGAGGGGGGAGAGAGAGAAGGGGACGCTTAAATGGTCTTGACGTTTCTCTCTCTCGCTTGTCCAACAGCGTGCTGCGGCGATTGGTCACCTTGCTATCCCAGCAGGCCATGCTCCTCGCCACTAATGAAGCATTCCGGAAGCAGGCCGAGAGCGCGACCGATGCCGCCAAGAAATACATGGAGGAGAACGAGACCTTGCAGAAGGTTAGCCACACACGCCTCGCAGCCTGTTACACAGGAACAGGAGGCCGTTCAGCCCTTTCCTCCTCCTCCTCGAGCCTGTTACACAGGAACAGGAGGCCGTTCAGCCCCCTCTGCCTTCAGCCTGTTACACAGGAACAGGAGGCCATTCAGCCCTTTCCTCCTCCTCCTCGAGCCTATTACACAGGAACAGGAGGCCGTTCAGCCCTTTCCTCCTCCTCCTCGAGCCTATTACACAGGAACAGGAGGCCATTCAGCTCCTCCTCGAGCCTGTTACACAGGAACAGGAGGCTGTTCAAACCCCCCTTTAATGTCTTATACCGGAACAGGAGGCCATTCAGTCTTTGTCTGGGCACTGATGTGTCTTATTTCTCACCTTCCCCTTCCCCCACCACCCACCCTCCCAGAGTCTGAAGGAGGCTGGAATTGAGCTGAAAGAGAAGGGGGAGCATCAGGACATTGAGAAGGAGAATGAGAAGCTGAAGACAGACATGCGGGAACTGAAGAACGAAGTTCAGGAAACAAAGAAATGTAAGGAGGTGTGGGGATGGGCGGCTCGGGGACAACGGGTGAGCGCACGGTTCCGAGAGCTTCCAGAATCCCGAAGGTTCTGGAACAGTCCTAGCCAACTTCTGAGCCATGCCCGCAAACCCTGTATCCGAGAAAGCAGGAGACACTGAGCATGTATGTCTAACATCGGAAAATGCAAAGAAACCATGAGGGAGAACGTTTGGAAAATAATGACCTGGTCGGGCAAAGTCTCCATGGTTTCGTGAAAAAGAGATTGTGTTTCCGAGGTTCATTGGGATTTGTTGGGCAGGGTAGATAGAGAGGAACTGGTAGATGTATTGTATTTAGATTTCTGCCTTCATGAGGATTTCCACATTGAGTGATATCGGTGCAGAGGGATCTGGCTGACCCAGCTCGTAGCATTCCTCCCAGTGTGGAAGCAGACCGTCGGGCCCATCGAGTCCACACCGCCCCTCAGAAGAGCGACCTACCCCTCCCTCCCCTAACCCCGAATGGCCAATCCTTCTAGCCCGCACCATCCCTGGACTCTATGGCACGATCTAGCGTGGCCAGTCCATCCCAGCCAACGTTTCTTTGGACTGTGGGAGGAAACCGGAGCCACGCGATGAAATCATCAATGCAGAGGCAGTAAGTGGCGAGGAAGACAAATGAATTCCAAGGGGAACACATAGCAAGAAGTGGGAGGGAGCCGGCTGGTGAAACCGCTCCTAATTCTCTTCCCAACCCGCCGCCCTCCTTTCTGGAATTCCGCTGCGTTTGTCCTGAGGGTTTGGTTGTGAATTTGACCCTTTTTTACTTTTCGTCCTGTCCCTCTGCCTGTTTCCACCACCACTCCTACCCCCCACCCCACCCCACCCCATAACGCCCACCTGCCCACCCTTTGCAGCTCTGCAGAAATCAGAGAATGAGGTGACAGCCATCAAGAAGCAGGCAGAGGGGCTGACCAAGGAATATGACCGTCTCCTGGAGGAGCATGCCAAACTGCAGGTCAGTGACCACCACCACCACCCCCCCACCCCCCGCCCACCGACCAGAGAGAGAATCCAGACAAAACCTTCCCTTGATCCCACACCCCTCTTCTCCTGAGCCCAATCAATCCAGTTACTGAGCTGCACTGGAGCAGACTCGATGGAGTGTTTACAGTGGAAAGGGGGCATTTGATTAACACGCCCCCTCTCTTACTCCACCTACTCCAGAAACTCAGCTCGTGTTCAAATCCCCCGTCCAAATGGCCGGGATTTGAATTCTAAAAAGAATCTGGAGTTAAGGGCCTAATGACGATTCGTGAAAAATCGCTAATGTCCTCCGGGATAGGTGGGGGGGTCCACGACTCGCTGTCAGTCATCACGAAGGAAGGGGCCGCTGTGGGGGGGGGCGTTCGGCGCCGAGGGAGCAGGTGAGGCGGGGAGGGGGTGTCGGTGCCGAGGGGCACTGTCGGGAGGGAGGGGGTTCGGCACCGAGGGAGCTGGGGGTGGGGGTGGTGTTGGGCGGGGTTGTCGGTACCAAGGGAGCAGGCATTGTCAGGAGGTTGGAGGGGGTGGATTTTGGCACCGAGGGAGCAGGGTGTCGGTGGCAAGGCACAGTTGGGAGGTGGTGGGGGAGCGGGGGAAGCAGTTTTGGCACAGAGGGAGCTGGCGGGTGGTGCCAAGGGAGCGGCCACTGTCGGGTTTGTGATCTTGAGAATGTAAATTGGGGGCCTGCGCCTCCCTTGACAGGGTGGGAGAGAGGGAGGGTGGGAAGTCCCAGCAGTGGTGCCATAAATAAATTGTTGGTCTGGATGGGGAGCACTGATGGACTGTAAGTCAACCTCCGCTGTGACTGACAACGCAGGTTATAAGTAGCGCCCGGGTGTGTTTTCTGTGGGTGAGTTGGACACGTTGAGAATGGCTTGTGACTTCTGCAAAAGTTCAAAGTCCTCACTGGGCTCAAGTTCAAACCGAGTTTACGAAGGTCGTGTTGCTCGTGTCAGTGTACGTCTGTCCTAGTTCCCCACGTGTTTTCCCACTCCTTCCACCATTCCCCCCCTCCCCCGCCTCCATTGCCTCTCCGCCCCTTTCCCAGCGGTTCCACCAGCTCGAAGCATTTACACTGGCTGTCTCTGTCTCTGAGTATGTCAGCAACTGAGAGTGTAGTGACCTCCTCCCCAAGCAACTGAACGGGCTCGCGTTTGTTGTCCAGTCGCAAAACGAGTTCATCTGCTTTACAGGCATTTGTCTCCCTTCTCCTCCTCCTCCCTGAGCCTGTTTCACAGGAACAGGAGGCCATTCAGCCCCCTCCTCCGCGAACCTGTTACACAGGAACAGGAGGCCATTCAGCCCCCTCCTCCGCGAACCTGTTAC